TACCTAGATATTTACCTGATAAACCTGTATACCAAATTTCACTTAAGTATGTGCATCGTTTGTGAAGAAAATGAATGGAAACTAAATGAACTGACAGACGGAAGGACCGACAGACAGCAGAGGGGTATAGTCGTGTACTTATTTTAATTTTCAAATCAAAATCAGTAAACAACAAATTATCACGAAGCAAAAGTTACCACTTTTGACATATATAAATTTATAGATTCTATTATCATGATTATACTTAATTTTAATTATTAAAATTGAAAACAACAAAATTACACTGAGGAAATCATATTTATCAACTTCTAAAGCGACATGCCATATAATGGATTCTAAAAAAGTCTTATACATTATTAAAGTAGGTCTACACTCGCACTACGTCATTTACAAATAGTAAAACCGGAACCACGCTTCCTTTTTCCGAGATGTGATTTTTTAACTATATTGGTTTGACTTTTACTTAGTGTTTTAAATATCTGGTAACGATTTTGCTTGATGTTGGTCGCGTATAAACAAACACTGATTCTACAGTTTAAGGATAAATCAATATTGAAAATTAAAAGAGAAGGCTGGGAACAACTTTCTGTTGACAGAAATAAATAGCCACAACAAAGAATTATTCCATCCACAATATTTATCTATTTTCTACATCAGAGTGATGTACCCCCTAAAAATTGTAAGTTATTATTTTTATGTTAATGATATAGGGTAGATTATAATGAATGAACAAATGAGCTTGAGCATACAGTGGCGTCGCCAATTCCGGATCGTCTCCTATTCCGGGTCACTAGCATGTATTTTATGGGTAGAGTTAAAATTTAAGCGCAAAAAACTTAATGAATACGCTGGTCGTGAAGAACTGGTCTTTCCGTATGTAATTAATTACAAAATTTTGAATATCAACTTTAAGAGAGCATCCAACAATCGAAATTCTGAAACGCAAGTTCAAGATAAATAATAAGAGCTCGAAAGTATGGCAAATGCATTAAGTTTTAAATCAGAAATCAATCATAATGATCGCTGCTCAAATAAAATTATAATGATTATTAAATCAACCTGTAGTAGTTTCTCCAATTGCGGGTCACGCAATATCGTGGCATAAACATGTCAAAATTCTATGTACAAAACCAATCGACAACCATGTATTTACCTTGATTATCAAAAGTACTCTAACTGGAAAATATTTTTTCAAAAAATCAAAATTAAGTCTACCCTTCAAATGCATTTTTAAAATAAATGAATTTAAATGTATTATTTTTAATCCTTATCCATTTTATTTCATTCTGCATACTGCAATTTGTTTTGTTGTAATTGTTTTAAAAATAATTTAAACATATTTCTGTGTTTGTTTTACTTTTTTTCCAAGCTGCATGAATTGTTTTATGTTTCAACATCATAAAAATCATGTTCCAAAACGTTTTATGAATATTACACGACCGTGAAGTCACATGACCCGGAAATGGAGAAAATGATTCGTAACTGGGGAAGCTAGGCCTTGCTGAAATACCCCTATAAATATTGTTCCCTTGTAGCGACTTTGAAAACGAAAATGTGTTTGGATGACTCACTATTTGTTCTTTCAATACATATATTGCATAAAATATAAATTGAACAGATTTGCAAAATATCAACGAAACACCCTGACGTGACCCGGAATTGGCAACTTCACTGTATATATAAACAGAATATGATTGTCATACTCAATTCCATTCACTTAAAGCCGCTTGATCCGAAACAGGCACATATTATCTTACACAATAAAAGTACGTCATTACATAGATAAGATATAAAAATAAATTATAAGATTGATTTAATAGTTTATTACAACAATCCTTACGTAGAAACCAAAAATCAAAATCTTATTGACAAACAGAAGTTCCTGACAGGAAGTTAAGATCTGTTTTGAAGTCACCTTTGAAAAATAATGAACTTATCGCTTTCATCTTTTTATGAAGATCATTCAAACCCGACTATATTTTTACCAAAAGTAGAAGTCTAAGTCATGGAATATATAATCCATAGTACATGTAGTAATTTTTATATCAATATGCATATGTAAAGAATAAAGGAAAATAAGATATTTTTAAAGGAATTTTAGTAACAAAGGCTAAACAATTGTCCGTGTACAGGTATATTCACTATAAGTACTTTGTTGTGAAAAAAAAAATGCTCGGATTCGTTCTTCATGAGATATATATGTAAGCGATAAATTTAATTTTTCGAAGGGGATTTCACGTGATATCAACATACGATTATTTTTTGTGTGACCTAACAAAAATTATTTTTTTAACTTTTGAATTTTGATATCTTTTAAAAGAAAAAGACTTTGGTGATATAATTTGACAAAAGGTAAAACAATTTATGGACAATTATTTTTCAAGAAGAAAAAATGAATGTATTTTTTAGCGATTAGAATCGGACCAAGCGGCTTTAACATTCAATTGTTCAGAAAGTTGACCTCTTCTCACAGTGACCTTGACCTAGACTAGGGTTTGCAAAATGACCTACATTTTTGCAGTTCCCATGTGTATACATCAACACAAACCATGGCCATAATGTACGACCCTTTCCCATTCTGGTCATGGTTACATGAGAAGAGAATATTTTGTAGCTCATTAAAATATTGACCAATGCAAGTACATGTAAAGCATAGTCGGATAATGAACATTGATGTGACCTTTCAATTTCATTGTACAAAATACTGCTGATGTAAATTGTTGATTTCAATTGCGATGGAAACGAAACTTGACATTGACTGAATATGATGTCACAATAGAAAGGCATAAATATTAGTGTTGTAAAATCGGACATATTTTACTATCGATTATCAGACTGAATCGGAAGAACACAATCGATTATATAATCGATAATTTGAACTATTAAAAAGGTTAAATTTATTAATTCAGCACGAGTAGAATTCCATGACATTTGACCGCGAACTTCAACTTATCTTTATTGACATACGACATTTTACACAATTAACAAATAACCGGGTCCATCAGCATATTATTTTTGCATGGAGGCCCATCGCCCTTTTTTCAGAAAGCCAAAAAATTTCAAACTTTAGATCGTGTTGCACCAGGATATTGATATAATTAGGCGTCAACCTCTTCACCATGCACGTTCGCCATTTTGTTTACCGCCGATTAGAGTGACGTTCCTTTGGTGAATATAAAAGTTAAACCTGATCGGCTTAAAAAATACGGCATGAAAAATATAGCGATCTATCGATGATAATATTTACAATCGATTGTCGCCGATCTGGGCCTTTAAACGACGATTTTTCGATAGTCGGCGACTATTTTAAGCCGACTATCGTAACAACACTAATAAATATTCAAGATTACAACATTTTTTGAGATCAAGCAGCCACGGGAAGGAGAGAGCTATATGCAGACTCTGAACCGTGGCTTGAAACGATTTTTCGATAGTCGGCGACTATCGTAACAACACTAATAAATATTCAAGATTACAACATTTTTTGAGATCAAGCAGCCACGGGAAGGAGAGAGCTATATGCAGACTCTGAACCGTGGCTTGAAACAATGTGTGTAAAGTTCTTCTTAGTTTATATTTACTTTACAATGAAGACTATAATAGATTTGACCAGAACAATGGTCAAAAGGTTAAAAAAAATTGTAATTCACATATATACATTGTACATGTATTATAAATTAAAAAATATGTATTATTTTGATCAGGCCTGTAGCTGCCTATAAGCAAGTACGCAAGTGCGTACACATCATTTTCAACAACAAAAAAAAAAAAAAAAAGAAAGAAAATAAAAGAAGAAGAAAAGAAAAAGAAAGAAAAAAAAAGATTTATTCGGAGAAAAAAAGGCACTATGATCCGTGTTTCAAATTATTTTGCGTGTTATTGTTTCGATTCAAATTTTATTCAGGATGTCTGTGCAATCAAATTCAGTCTTTTATAAATTCAAATTCCAAAAACTTATTCCAATATTATTGAGGAAGAGAAAATATAATTGAACCAAAATGTTCAACTGTAAATCCGTTGGACTACTATATAAGATTTTCAATTTCTGTTGAGGTAATAAATAAATGTAGTTAAACAAAAAATGGTAATATTTAAAATACACTGAACAAAGTACAGAGTAAATAATAAGAGATCATGTTTGAAAATCTTATTTTGCTGATGTTACCATTTTATAGAATTATTATTTAATATCAATTCTCTATAAAAATCAAAATGACGTGGCCACGCAATGTCTTAGATTCAGCTAATTTTTTTCTCACTGAAACTTCAATGAATGAAAAGATGGATTATATGAAAGAAAGCATGGTATTTTACCCGGTTGCCATGGAAACGGGGCTAAAAGGTGTAAATTATAGTGAATATTGCTATTTATCAATAATATCAAAAAAAATTTACTAGGCAAAGCTGTTAATGTGCATATTTTTTTATATGCTTCATGACAATCAAAACTATGTAAAAAATAGTGTATGTCACAAAGTTTTTACAATTTCTAATTTTCTGATGCCCAAAAAGGGAATAATTAGTCCTCGTTACCTCCCTTGTTAGACTTAATATTTAAAGACTTTGACAAGTGATGTGAAAATCCTAGTAGGGAGATTCAGATTCAAGAAATGTTATTTTGCAAATATCATTTAAAACATTTATGGGTAAATGAAAAATAAACATTTTATTACACTATAAAGTTGGTCTAAATGTGCTTTTTCTCTATCCAAGTTATTTCCCTTGTTGGAGCTCTTCGGCATTGAAGAATACAAAATGTGTAAAATGTAAACAAGATGGCAGACAATAAAATCTGCATTTTTTCTTCTTGTTTTGAAACATCTTGTTCAGGGAAATTCTACCTCAAGAGACTCAGAATTTGATGAAAAACAGTTAACAAAGTGGGGATAATCTTTAAGAAAAGCCGAAGGGTTGATCTGGGCATGATAAGTATTACACGTATAGCTACTCGTAGAACATGTAGAAAGGAAAATATGAGGAAATCAGGGTGGTATGGGACGAAGGCTGAGAGGATTTTAACTGTTTCCTTCAAAATGTCTACTGTTCCCTCCAAGATGTCTTTGAAATAGAGATCGAGAGATACATGTAGTGGTGTGGTAGTCCCCGACCAATCCCCATTGCAATGTGTAAGTATTTTTTAATTTATAATTCTATTCTGTTGTCTCATGTACCTGGTAACTGACTGTATATTGAAATATAAGACAATAAAAACAAACAAAACCATGAAAACTTGGATGCACAGTTGCATATATTACATGTAAATGACAGTGAATCATATACTACTGTGAATATACATGTATGTGCCCGTTTTGGGTACCGGTATTTTATTTTCTATAAAATTCAGTATATTTGAAAAAAATTGTTTGTACAAATTTATTTTTCTAAGTGATAATATGTTTGTGTCCATTCTATTTTAACATTAAACAGGATTTGTAGAAATCATACCACGGAAATATTAAACCTTTGACTTTTTACAATGATAACTGAATAGTTAGATTTTTTGAAATTTTAAGCAATATCAGGACCATAGAATATTTGAAAGAATTGATAAGAAAAAGTGTAAGTGTAAAATTATGAAAATTAACTCAGTACATGCAGACACACAGATGTGCAGCTGCTAATAGTGTTCTAGATCTATGTACATATACTTTGTCATACTAGTGAAATCTTTTTTGGGACCTTGATACAATTAAGTTATTTGCTCTGCAAGGTAATGTATTGTTAAGTAGGTAAAGAAATCTATTCAAGAGTGTTAGAATGTGACAACTCCATTTCATTTGTACTTGGAGTTCCTATAAATTAGTTAATTGTCATGAAGCACTCTTTATTGACTTTTCGAAGATGCAGCTTTCTGTCTCATAATTTTATTTTACTGAGCACTGTTTTTCAGCTATATATTGCAGGCATATCAATCTTGCACACATTTATGAATAGTTTTAGTTTTACAGTATTGATCTGTACAGATGAGATCATTCTGATGCTGTGTACTTTACATGTCAAGGACATATTTTACAAATTAAAAATAGTCACATTAAAAGAACAAAATAAATTATACCACATTACATGTAGTATCCATAAAACATGTATGTTTATATTACAATTAATTCATGATATAATAACATTTCATTTACCACTTTAAAAATTAATTGTTGTCAAATTCATTTCTACTCTAGATCTCCGGCAATTTGTCTAAACCGCAGAAAAGCTTTAAATTAACTGTGTAAATTGAAAAAAAATGCTTGATGACAACATTGAATCCCCTCCTTTCACAATCATTCCCCATGATTCAGAGAATTTTCAGGATAACATTTAAATATCAGGTACATGTAATATATATTTGATGTTTAGGATTTTAACCCAAACTTTCAAATTAAAAAAATTATTTAAATTTTCAGATCAGTGCAGCCCTTGCAAGATTTTCCTAATAAAGATTCTCAGGATTACAGATCCTCTAGCAAGGAGACCAGACAGGTACATATATTGTGTATTAACTTACATGGATTCATGGTGACTTAAAACATGATTGCCATGACAATGCATAAAGGGAGATAATAATGTTTAGAGGTTGAAAATGTATATTTTTTATATACAGCAAAATTTTAAGATTCCAGTTTTAAGTTTTTAAAATAATTTTTAATAGATTTTTATCCAAACTTACCAAAAATTAATGGTATTTTTTTCTTTATTTTCATGTGAACAGATAGAAATGACCAGAGCAGAGGACACACAGCCCCCCCCCCCCCCTCCAAAAAAAAAAAATTCACAGTGGACAGGAAGTAATTTTCACATGAAAAATAGAAAGTAGGAAAAAGAACAGAAAGAAAAGAAGATCCAGTAAAAGTTGTCACTGGTGCAAGATGGATATAGAGAGGGTTTTCTAAAGATCATTACTAAAATCCACAGCAAATTGCAAGGCTGAGCTACTTTTCAAACTTATACAAAAGGACATAAAGAAATGTGAATTCGAGGTTTTCCTTAGAGAATATGTATATTCTAAATTGATTCTAAATTGATTTCTTGTATTTTCAAAAATGTCACTGTTTAAGTGGAGCATGCATTCCAATGTCATGTTTATTTCTTTTCTATAAAGGCAGTATTATGAAAAGAAGCAGTTTCTTCCCTTTTTATATCCCCACTCTGCAGGAGAGGTGGTATACTGATTTATTATATACCCCCACATGGGCTCACAAATCTATAGTTTTATACTGGCAGGATTCACACAGTATGTCATGTATGATTAGAATATGAATACATTTTAACAAAACTGAGAACAAGATTAATTGTGAAACACTGATTCCCCCATACATGGCAGCTTATGCCACGACTCCAACTTGGTATCCCAAAAAAGATCTTGTCACAAGGAAAACACCTCTGAAATATGAAAATCTAGTCCAACGTCAAAAGTTGTGGTTAAGGTTAAAGTTTTTCTAAGGTCGGTCAATGTCTAAGGTCAAGGTCAAATGGTTAAAAATATTTATACTCATTAAAAGAACATAATAGTATAACTGATCATCTGAATATGCTGATAAGCAATGTGATAATAAGAATTAATTCCACAATATTTAGCATATAAGGGCATTTAAAAAGAATTTGTTTGCCTTCCCCCAATAGACTGACTAAAATTCAAAACTTTTTTTTACATTGCAAGACAGGATGTTTTTTTTTTCTTTTTATCCATCTGATCTCATCAACAAATATTTTGAAATTTTCTGGGAAAATGATTTTTCAACCTACCTACCGACTTAATAATTTTACCCTGAGTTGGGAGAGGGCAAACAAACATTATAATCAAGATGGTCTTGCCAACTTGTTTTGACATTATATTGTCTGAATTACTTTCATATTTTCATTAGATACTTTAATATCATTCATTAAATATGAGTTTGCCTTTTCACTTAAATTATACATTTAAAAAAAATAAACAAATGTTTTGAATTTAAACATATTTTAGTGAATAAATCAAAGGGATTGGAAACAATTACAGGCCATCAAAAGATTTGTAAGAATTGTTGGAAACTCACTTGTTTTATTTCATATTTAGAATAAAGTAACTAGAAGCCTAATTTGTTTCCATGGCAACATTTTAATTTACCTGTCTCTGAGTTAATTGCAGAAGTTCTATTTAATTATCAAAAAGAAATTTAAATACTTGACGTATATTCATATAACATAACAATTTGTTCAATTTGGTAAAACATGTTCTTAGATGATCTTCTCTGTAGTTTGTGATTAAGGGGGGGGGGGGGGTGTCATACAATAATTTCTAGAAAGCTGTACATTTACCTATGAAATTTTTTTTATTCTCATAAAACCTTAGAATATATAGTTTATTTAATGATACATGCATGGTTACAAATATATCAGTTGTCAAAATGGTGAAAAATTTCATTGAATATGACTTAAAAAATTCAATTTTGGCAAATTGCCAATTTTCATGCAATAATTTCTAGAAAGTTTTTGATTTACCCATAAATTTTTTTTATTCTCATAAAACCTTAGAATATATAGTTTATTTAATGATGCATGGTTACAAATATATCGGTTGTCAAAATGGTGAAAAATTTCATTGAAAATGACTAAAAAAGTCAATTTTGGCAAATTGCCAATTTTCATGCAATAATTTCTAGAAAGTTTTTGATTTACCCATAAATTTTTTTTATTCTCATAAAACCTTAGAATATATAGTTTATTTAATGATACATGGTTACAAATATATCAGTTGTCAAAATGGTGAAAAATTTCATTGAATATGACTAAAAAAGCCAAATTTGGCAAATTGCCAATTCGCTAACAGCCTAAATGCTGCAAAGAAAATTCGCTTAATATCCATTCAAATATCTTGAATGAAATTTATTTCTGAGATTTAAGTAATATGAGCTCAGAGAATATAATTTTCATGTGAATTTACACTAATTTATTGAATGTGCACTAATTTAATTTAAAACAGAGCAAAATTTGCTTAATCGGAGGATTCTAAATATAACATCCTTGTCACCATGGCAACCAAATTGAAAAGTAAGACTTTAACATCATATTTATTAAAGATATGCCAAATGTAGTAAATGGTGTGAAATTCAGCTAAATCGGAGACATGTCATGTCCACGACCCTACTTAAAATTTTGATTTTTATAAAGAATTGATATTAAGCATTCTCACCTTGTTTAAGCCATCAAGATATATAAGTAAACAAAAGATCCCCTATCCCCGTTTATATTTTGAAATATTTAAACTCCAATGATAACAGTATTGAAATTACTTCTCTGTTTATCTTGTCACGTTTGGAAACTTTTTCCCCCAAAATATATATACCAATGTATGCGTAAAATAATTTGATTTAATTATCGTTCTCTTTCTTAAGTACCCATGAAAGCATTAACTTAGCTAAGTATTTGCTCGAGAAAAGAGATGTAGCGCAATTTCTTTTGCGGGAAAATGACTGAAAAATTTCGTAAAATCCAGGAGCTTCAGGGGGCTTTGCCCCCTGGGCCCTCACCAGACCCGACCGTTTTCTGAGTACACATTATTTCCATGCTGGCTACGCGCTTGTTGATATATATATTTCTAAACTTATGCAAAAAATAAATAAATAAATAAAACACACACACACATAAAATTCACCCTGACCTTACCAAGAATAAATCAATTGTTCTCAAAACTGAATTTTTTTTTATAGTACGTTCTAAATATAAAATTATTTTTTTTTACTGATCGATCTATTTTAATGATCATCTCAGATATTTTATGCATGATCATTAAACGTCACATTAATGTAAGTTGCATAAGTATCTATATTTTAAAGTCCATTTTATAAATTTTGACACTGTTAATTTACAATGATACCTGATACTTTTAAAAAACAAGAGATGTTTGTAAAACACTTATGCCCCCCTCCCCCCAAATTGGATTTTTCCTAAGTCCAAAAGTGCATAACTCTGTCTAAAATGGTGCAATCGTACTCAGAACAAAACTCGACTTAGATATTCAGCTGAAAAATCTGTATACTAAATTTTATTTCATTATGTGCAACCTCTGCAAAGAAAATGAACGGAAACTGCAAATAATTGGAATTTTTCTAAGTCAAAGGGGCATAACTCTGACAAAAAGGTTGTGATCGAACCCAAAACAGAACTTGTCCTAGATATTCAGCTGAAACATCCGTATACTAAATTTCATTTGAATATGTGCAACCTCTGCAAAGAAAATGAAGAAACGGCAAATAAGTGGAATTTTTATAAGTCCAAGGGGCATAACTCTATCAGAAAAGGTGCGATCAAACCCAAAACAGAACTCGACCTAGATATTCAGCTGAAACATCTGTATACTAAATTTCATTTCAATATCTGCAACCTCTGCAAAGAAAATGAACGGAAACTGCAAATAAATGGAATTTTTCTAAGTCCAAGGGGCATAACTCTGTCAAAAATGGTGTGATCGTACCCAAAACAGAACTTGACCTAGATATTTACCTGATAAACCTGTATACCAAATTTCATTTCAGTATATGCAGCGGTTGTAAAGAAAATGAACGGAAACTAAATGGACCGACAGACCGACCGACCGACCGACAGACCGACGGACAGCAGCAAAGCAATATGCCCTCCCTTCTTCAAAGGGGGGCATAACAAAGAAGAAGGTATGGTTTCAATACAAATCTTGCCCTGTGATTTTCTTAAAAATGAAACTGATGTAAAAAATGAAAACTCATGTATTTTGAATTATTGAAATTCCATGCATAAAAATTATACAAATCATTTTTCTCACATGCATTTCTAAATGCTAATTGTGACGTCATAAACATGTGCATTTTCCCGTATTTTCTTAAAATGTTGCAGAAGACACCAATTTTCAATGGAATTTTCTTTCAGAAAACATTGTCCACAGGCATCGCCCACAAAGATATTTAAATATGTGATTTTTCATTGTATTTTACACAACATATCCAAGAATTAAAGTGGGCGACAGCTGTGGACACAATTTTCTAAAGGAAAATTCCCCTTGAAACGGGTCAATTTGAAGCTTTTTCTCTTTGAAATAGACAAATGCACCAAATTAATGACGTCATATTTCCAGAATGTTACTCCTTCATGCCATATTCTTTCCAGATCTTTCACACTCATAAACCTAACTAATATTAAAACCAGTTTCAAAACTTTTTGAAAACATCTAATTTTAAGGGCACAATAAAGCTAAAAACCATACCTTCTTCTTTGTTCCTGTGGTTCGAAAAACAAACCGCATATATGTAAAATGTCTGGTTCATGCAAGATTGTGCTACAGAGCATACAACTAATATTGTATTAGATATCTCAATGAAATCTTTAGCTGCAAGGTGATTTCCTGGTGATACCCAGAAGTGAAGGAGTGTGGACAATCTTGGCCTGTGCACAGTCCTGATTTGAACCTGTGCGATTACTTTTTCTGGGGATACCTTAAGTGTGTCAAAATGTTATTAAGAATTTCATAGTGGGTGTTAGGGAAGGGAAGCTAGAAAGGACATCAGTTAGAGAACAACATTAATTATTGAAATGAAAAATTGGTACTATGTACTTTAAATGCTGCTCAAATAATATTCTTTGACATACTAATAAAATAAAGATATCAGATTAAACTTAAATTTTTGCTTTATACATGTTATATATTGTTATATATATTTTGATATAAATTCTTCAAACTTAAAACCGGCATTCTAAAAATTTCATACATGCCAACTTTTGAAAATTCCCATGGGGGATTTTTAAAGCTTTAAATTCGCGACATTTTGTCGTGAAAATAAATAATTATGAATTTTTTTTTATTATTATAATATTGATAGCACTTATTAATACATCACAAATAAAATAATGCAAATTAAAGTTTTATTTTTCCAAATTCAAATATCTTTGCTTAATAGTTGTCACCCTGTTCTATCAATTTACATTTACATTTTGTTTCTGGTATGTACCCTTAAAATCAAATGTCACTTTATTTCCTACAAGTAAGTATATAAACAGTGCATGATTATTTTTATCTCACACACAAAACAATTTGGAGAAATAAGCCTAATTAAATCATGATTTTTTTTAACACTATAGCCCCACCCCCACCCATCCCAAAGAAAAATTAAAATTGTAAAAGACTACATCATGAACATGATGAACTTTTGCAGTCTTGGCAATGCCATATGGTATTTCCTTGACATATATGTAACAAAGAAATACAATGTACAATATGAGTATGATTTATTGGAGAAGGGGGGGGGCAGGGCTCAACATTAACTTTAAAATTAACTAGACCAGTTGGACTAGTAGCTGGAAAATTTACTAGACCTGACCTCAATTTCACTAGACCTGACCTAATATCCATGGTTTACTGAATAAATATTAAATCCGAAAAAAATTATCACGAAGAGAAAAACCCATAGTCGAATAACATTGTCAGTGTAAGCATATTGATGCTTATCATTTAACTTGGTTTTGCTGCAAAGAAAATTAAAGAAAATAAACATCTTTTTAATAAATTCAAGAAAAAATCAGAAAGGAAGATGTATTTTTATTCGATTTAGTTGTATGACTGCATGGTTAAATGAAATCACACTATGCAACAGTTTATGTAAATGACTTAGCAAGAAGGAAAAATCTTGGTAGAGTTAGCATTTAAGAGAAAGTCAAATGACAGCACTGTTTTATATGAAATATTGATATTATACTATGGAATAAAATATGTTGGTTTCCTGTAATCATGGTAATATTACCCTAAAAACAAGGGTTGGTCAGTAGATAATTATTATTATTTTTTTTTTTTTGGCTTAACAAGATCTCACAAATTGACAAAATAAACTTCCAAGTTTAAAACTTTTATTTTCACTTTCCATAATGCCTAAATAAAGGGGTCAAACATCCCGGACTGAACTAACCAGGTGTGATATTTACAGTGGACATCCATCATGGCTGTCTTGCTGTTGAATACGAAGTTCCAAAAGTTGTGGGGGATTGCTAAATGATATAATAACGAACATTACTTTTTATATTTTAAGTGAATGTTGACTAGGTTGGCATATTTTATATCTCAAACATTGTATCAGCTGATTGATTAAACACAGATTTGGCAGAAAAAAATCCACCGGCAGCAATACAGGAAACAAACGTTATTTTTTTTAAAGTTCATGATATTTTAGTTGGGATAAAAAAAATGAAAGTGAAACCTGATCCATAAACAAGAAAAATCTGTAAATTTGTTGCAAGTTTTGCTTCATTTGAACTTTGGTCAAAATATTTTTACACGACCTGTCGGGCTACCATGAAACAAAATAAACTAGACCGGACCTAACTTTTACTAGACTGAGTCGGTCGGACGTGCCTTAATGTTGAGCCCTGGGGGGGGGGGGGGGGGAGAGAGAAATTTAGTGTACTTAACATGAGAGTATTATTTAATCTAAATTATTCTCAATATTTTTTTTAAATTGACAAACTTTACAATGTTTTTATTATTAGCAGTTAAAATCAGCAGCTATGTTCTACTTTCGTTTTCAAAAAACGATCTTCTTGGATTCCAATTTCATTGTTTGATTATCATTTTATTAACTTTAATTTTTGTTTTTAATACAATGACCAATAATTAAGCCCTTAATCTATATGTTTCACTTTTCATACCCTTTCAAACTGAAAAGATTAACCCTCTAACTGCTCCAGGCTATAATTAAGCTAACTGTACCTGGACAGCAGCGTGTGCGTTGAAGCGAGAAGTGATTTCCTGTGGGTAATTAACTCTGCATGCTAAATAAACAAGGAGACTTATCTGTGTGCATTGAATAAACAACTCTGATATTCTTATCCCGATTGACAAATTTTCGCGGTAGGGAAACTGAAAATCTGAATTTTTTTCAAATCGGAAAATTGGGTCAATTTTTCTTTCCCGATCGGGAGAGCGGGATGAAAGGGTAAAATCGGGAGAATCCCGCCTAAATCGGGAAAGTTGGCATGTATGAAATTTGAAAGTGTAACCTTTGTTTTCGGACACCCTGTATCATATCAATTCTTCCCTTTGATTAGTTATATTCCTTTCCTCTGGTGTATGTTTTATGATAGTGTCCTAGGCCGTCTTGAAGACACACCATTTTTGTTTACAAAGATAGATGTTCCAAAAACTACCGATATCAAACACCTCAGCATTATAACAGGAAGTGGCCTATTACACATCTAATACCTTAACATGACTTTGTTCACTACACAATATTTTTTTGTCAATTAAAATGTTTCAGATGTTTACAGTTGAGTCTTTTTCTTGTTAACCACTCATTTATTCCTTAAAAACTACCACTAAACATTTTAAGACTTTTCTTAGGATACAACTTCATGTTGGTGGGATAATAAAACCAGAGGCTTCCGAGTATTCAATTCTGAGGTCTGTGGGTTTATAGTTGTAATAAAGAGGCTCAATCAGAGAAGTTCTTTAACTTACCATGCTTTTTACCCATTAAATCTAAACTTTCATTTTAGTCCCACCCTACCCCCTGGGATAATGATTTGAAAAATTTGAATCTACACTACCTGAAGATGCCTCTGTTGTTCTTAAGACAAAATTTTTTAAAGATTTATTGTATATTCCTATATGAAATTTGAATGTCCATTGTACTCTACTCTGGGGGTCATGATTTGAAAAAACTTGAATCTATATTACCTGAGGATGCTTCCACATAACTTTCATCTTTCCAGACCCAGGGGTTCTTAAGAAAAAGATAATAGAACATGCCACCAAATTTTCACCATGTCTTAATAACCTCCCCTTGGAAGAGGGCGTGGCCCTTCATTTAAAAAAAATTTAATCCCCTTCACCAAGGATGCTTTGTGGCAAGTTAGACTGAAATTAGTCCTGTGGTTCTGTAGAAGAAGTCGAAAATGTGAAAAGTTTACAGACAGATAGACCAACAGACGGACATATTGTGATCAGAAAAGCTTGTAGATCAAGAGCAAAAAATTACAGGTTTGTATGTTGATTGTTATATTTTCCTGTTATATTTCAAGAAGAATAGTTTTGAATGCTCTTCCTGAATATACAGTAAAACATGTTATTAATAACAAATTTCCAGGATGAACAATTTTGCTTCATTATACTAAGCATACTTTTTATATCCATAAAAAGTTCCATGTAATTTAACATGTTTAAAGTCCAGGGGAATGAAAATCACTTTACTATAAGTATCACATAATCATAAATATGTTTTACTGCTTTCATAAATATAACTTTTGAGAAATAAACTTACATAATGACACTTACCTTTTTTCTGGGCACAGTATATATTTCTTCAAATGCTTTGTCTGTTAACAAACCAAATATCAAACTGTAGCTATATGATCAGGTTACCCAAAGATTTCCTGAAACCAAAATGAATATTGAACTTTGAAGCATCTACACAGCGAGCTACAGATCAGCAGCTATGGAAAAACATAATTTCACTTTTTACATTTTCTAAAACATAATATATGGCCACATTAAGTAAAAATTTAGATTTTCATCCTAATTTGTTGGAAAATTGGATGGTCGGTTGGAGTTTTTTTTTTTTATTATTGAAAGTATCAAAAAAACATGCACTCTTCGTACACAACATTTTTATATTATGTTTATGCCAATATGAATAGATTTTAATGTTTTCATATTCGTTTAAATATCTACAGATGATTCCTGTTTTAAAAAATTTAATATAATTAACAAATTACCAAGTACACAGATACGGAAAACACCAAACAAAATGAGGAGTGGCTCCCAATAAATTGCATTATGCATTACTTCTCATTTGGCTTTCTCCATATACATGTACTTTTTAGTTTTACCAACATCTCCATCTATTTTGTGTAAAATATCACAACTTTCCACTGTCCCCAAAAAAATTTCATCATTATTTAGACTTGACATATTTAAAATTAATATAGGTTAAATGTAAAATCAGTTTGTCTGTCTGTAATCAACATAAATCTTGCCTATAACTATTGAGTGGGTGGGACTACATGTATGGATTTCACAGAAGTTTTGCTTGTGACAAGATCTTTTTTGAGTACCACCAAATTTGACCTCTTATCCTTGAGTATACATTATAAGGGAGAAAGGTATGCCACTACGGTTTGTTTACGTTGTACCCCCACTGGTCTGAAAGGTACTTGGACACAGCATGATCTAAATGTGATAAAAATGGGAATGGAAATCTGTAAAATTACAGTTTATTTGAAAAAAAAAACAGGTCCAGTCCAAAGACATTTCTACCTATGTAGCTATTAATAGCTACCTAGTTATTTAAAGCTACCCAAAGTAGCTATTTTTACTTACTTTCTGTTTGAATATACTTGCATTTTGTGGCCAAATGCAGGAACAGCGCAATAGATAGTTTTCGATTGACCTAAATTTAGCAAAAGTTATCTCCCTTCGGTCGCCATGTTAGAGGTCCAAATGCTCATAATCCTTCATTGTTCAACCAATTTTAAATTTTTATATTTGCGATTTTGAATTAGGAATCATTATTTTTCTGAAGTATATAAATTTTTGAAAGCCTCCTTTATTTAAAAAAAATTATTTAATAAAGATTTTCCATCAAATATTTTTGCTATATTTTCTTATAACTTGGTAAGACAAAGAGGAAAACTCACAGAGTCGACCTCCAACATGGTGACCAACGGGAGATAACTTCTGCTAAATTTAGGTCCATCTATAACTATCTATATGGTGAGCACAAAATTTCTTGAAACAGTCACACTGACGATGGATATGACAAAAATTTGCCAAAAAATTATTTCTTTGTACATCATCAATTTTGCATTGAAAATAATGTAAAATTGCCGATTCAGGAAGTAATTATTTTTTCGCCAAAATTTTGTCGTATTCATCATTAGTGTGACTGTATCAAAAGATATGGTATTCACCATGTTGCGCCGTTTGGTATTTTGGCCGCAAAAAGCAGAAATTATAAAAAGTAGGTAAAAATAGCTACTTTGGGTAGGTTTCAATACCTACGTAGCTATTAATAGCTTCATAGGTAGAAATGGTCTTTGGACTGGACCTGAAAATATTACCCGTTACCGACGCATATTCCATATTTTTAATCATTACAAAAGTTTAGATTCGGGTGACAAACAAATAGTATTTTAACAGAAAGGAAATGAGCTATGTATCTGGATTTTTTAAAATACCGCGATACAAGCGAACCCGCGATATATAGATAGAATGTTCTATCGTTAAAATGATATTGTCCTATGGACCCGGTTTAACGATAGAATTCGTTCCGTGTATTCGAAATGTAGCAGAAAGAAACACGGGCGATAACTCGCATAGTGCATTTACTTGGAACAATCTAGAGAGTTCCGAATGTAAACATGGCCAGTAATTTGAATCGCGAGAAAAACGTTGAGAAAATTAATTGGATTTTCGTATTTATATGGATTATTTTTTGGGATAAAAGGCATAAGCAATCTCAAGAAGGTTTGTTTTGATTATTTTGGTAGTTATTACCAGTGCAAATCATTTTATATTCTTCAAAATCGTTTCGGAGCGGTTCCGCTCCGATTTGCTACATTACAAGTATATGGGACGTATTCTAACTGTGGTGAGGGCCTGTACCGAGACACAGTTAGATTATTCTAACTAGCGATATATAGCGAAGCGAGTTTACATTGTATTAAATTGTAACTCTTAAAATATATTCAAATTCACATAACTATAGTACTTACAAGTATTTGAGCACTGCAAAAACACTCTGCAAAGGCGTCGATTGTTCAAAATATCTAAATTAGACTCTCACTATAACTGTCAGTACACTAAACTTTAGCTAAACTTAGCAAACCACCGTCACCACGTTTTCTTCTCCGGCACGAGAAATGTATGGTATATTTGGACCCTCGATCCCGATAACAATTTATGTAAATTTCGATGGACCAGCAGGCAGCAGCAAATGGTATTTGTTAAGTGTGCTGTTGTCTATAATAATAAATATGGAAATATAATTTTAAAAAAAGTATAGATGCCCAGTGTACTTCACATGCTTCATACTACGCGGATCTAGACGGGGCGGGTTTTTTTTTAAAGATTAAGAAAGGATTTTTTTTTCAAGTTCATTTCTGAGTTGGAGTCCTCTTGAAAAAAAATTCTGGATTTATATCTCGACTTTATTTTATGTGTTCTGTTTCATGTACGCAACTGATTAAATTATGAAAGACATAGACATCGGAAACGGGGTAGGGTGGGGGGGGGGCTATATATATAGGGGGACTTATATAGCCCCTTTCACTTTTTTGCAAAGATAGACACAATGTAAGCATTGAAAATTGGAGCTTACCTATTTTTGGTGGTTTCTATTCTATTTCTTTATTATTCCATATAAAGATAAGATTTTCCTGTATTACACAATTTTAATCTATCGAGTTTCATAGATTTAAAACAATAACCGATTTATTTCCGACGGAGCATTTAAATATTAGACATAGTGCTAGAGTCAATTTATTCATGTGAAATATTACAAGAATTGCTTGCTTGACTTCTGAGATAATGAAACATGCGTGATTTTCAAATCTAACATAGAAATCTCCATAGGCAATTTTAAGGGACTAATAGAACAGGAAGTACTCTTCATATACATACTATAAAGTTGAAACATAGAGAGTATATATATTTGAAATTAATTTAAAATACAAAATTTCATGTCTCTGAATCACCTTTAAGTGGAAAAAAATGACCCCACACGGACTATACATATATTTTACCCTTCTTATGCTTAACTCAAAACCGAAATCAGTTTGAAGATTGTTGGGTAAATGAAAAAAATACATACAAAGCACTATTTTCTGTACTGACCCCTAAAATATATTTCTTCTATTTTAAGAAAATTTATTTGTACGACCTTTCCACCTGAAGACAATGCCAGTGTCATTATTCATGTGAAATATTACAAGAATTGCTTGTTTCCCTTTTGAGATAATTGACCATGAGTGATTTCAAACAATATTGTAACATAGATACATGTATATCTCCATAGTCAATTCTAAGGGACTCATAGAACAGGAAGTACTCTTCATAGTAAAATTGAAATATAGAGAATATAACACTCCAAGCAGATGGACAAAGGAAGATAACTCTTACGCAATTATTTTTTTAAATTACTTAAGAAGTACTAAATTTCAGATCACTTAAACACCTATAAGGTATCAAAAAGTGACCTCACGGACCATAATTTTTAAATTGCCCTCCTTATGCTTAACTCGGAACCGAAATCACTTTGAAGATTGATGGATAAATAAAAAAGTTACAAGCAAAAAAACTATTTTTTGTACTGACCCCTAAAATTCCTTTTGTTTAAAAAAAAATATTTTCAAGACCAAACCACCTGATGACAATGCTAGAGTCATTATTCATGTGAAATAGTACAAGCATTGCTTGTTTCCCTTTTGAGAAAATGGAACAGGTGACATTTCATATCTAACATAGAAATCTCCATAGGCAATTTTAAGGGACTCATAGAACCGGAAGTACTCTTCATATACATACTAAAGCTGAAACATAGAGATTATATAACCCTCCAAGCAGATGGACAAAGGGAGATAACTCTTACACATTTTTTTTTTTAAATTGCTTAAAAATACAAAATTGCAGCTCTCTAAAACACTCATAGGGAGCCAAAAAGTGACCCCACGGACGATATTTTTTCAATTGTCCTTCTTATGCTTAATTCAAACCGAAATCCGTTTGAAGATTAAAGGGTAAATAGAAAAGTAACAAGCAAAAAAAAATTTTCTGTACTGACCCCTTAAACCCCTTTTATTTCAAGAAAAATTTTTTTCAAGATCTAATCACCTAAAGACAATGATAGAGTCATTTTTTCATGTGAAATATCAGGAGTATTGCTTGCTTGACTTCTGAGATAATGGAACATGGGTGATTTCAAATTTAACATAGAAATCTCCATAGGCAATTTTAAGGTACTTATAAAACCGGAAGTACTCTACATATCCATGCCAAAATTGAAACATAGAGAGCATATTAGACTCCAAACAGGTTGACACAGGGAGATAACTCTTGCACGATTATTTTTGAAAATACTTAAAAATACAAACTTTTAAGTCTCTAAAAGTCCTTTAAGGGGTCAAAAAGTGTCCCCAAGGACCATGATTTTTAAATTGCTCTTTTTATGCTGAACCCAAAACTGAAATCAGTTTGAAGATTGATTGATAAATAAAAAAGTTACAGGGCAAAAACGATTTTAAGAGTTGACCCCTAAAAGTCCCTAATTTTTAGGGATTTAGTTTTCATATCCTTTTCACTTGAAGACAATAATAAGTCAATTATTCCCTGTAAATATTACATAGAATTGCTTGCTCTCCTTTTGAGATAATGGAACATTAATGATTTTATTTTTACTATAGAAACTCCCATAGACAATTTCAAAGCCTTATAGAACCGGAAGTACTCCTCCAATGGACATGAAACTTACATTACAGCCTTTAATTACTTTGATAAACACAATATTATCATCAAAATAAATTTCCTACAGTGTTTTCAAAATTTTTAATTTCAATCCCCCCTTTTCTTAACTTTGGAGCCCTATAACACAAAAATGTAGCAAAGGTGCTAAAACACTAACGATGACTTTTTTGTAGATATTACTTTGAAGAATACATTCCTAAATTTTGAACGAAATGGCATGTAAAATAAGGAATGTTTGAGGCTTTAAAGAAAATTCAGTTTCTGACTCATAAATACCGGAAGTGACGTTTCCTGAAGTACTAAACCTAACATACACAAAACATTTAAAAGTTCTTTTTCATAGTTATAAAGTTAAATCCATATGTTCAAAGACTTTTTTTATATCCATGACATAAAAAACGCTAATAAATAAAACTAGATCTTTTTGTCGTTCAACAAAAACGGAGGGCTTTTCGACACCTAAAAAGAAGAATCTTATATAACACATTAAAAACAACTGAAATAATACAATATCGTAAAAGTTCTTTTGAGATCAATACTGAATTAAAAACATAACCATTCTCTTAGTTGTCCAGTGTCTACTCGGAGAGAAATAACTCTTCCCTCAATATTTAAAACATACTAAAATGTACTGTTTTTCAATCCACTAAAACTCCTATAAGGGGTCAAAAAGTGACCCCACGGCCAATATTTTTTAAACTGCACTCTTTATGCTTAATGCCATACCAAAATTAGTTTGAAGATTGCTTGAGAAATAAAAAAGTTACGGAGAAAAGGCTGTTTTCTGAATTGACCCCTAAAGTCCCTACTCTTTAAGGGATTTTTCTTTTCATGACCTTACCAACTGAAGACAATGATAGAGTCATTATTCATGTGAAATATCACGAGCATTGCTTGCTTCCCTTTTGATATATGGGACATTGTATGATTTCATATTTAACATAGAAATCTCCATAGACAATTTTAAGGGACTCATAAAATTCGGAAGTACTCTTCATATGCATATCAAATTTGAAACATAGAGAGCGTATTAATCTCCAAAAAGGTTGACAAAGGGAGATAACTCTTGCATTATTATTTTTTAAATTACTTAAAAATACATAATTTCAGGTCTCTAAAACACCCATAAGGGATCAAAAAGTGACCCCACGGACCATTATTTATAAATTGCCCTTTTTATGCTTAACTCAGAACCGAAATCAGTTTGAAGATCTATGGACAAATAAAAAAGTAATTTATAAAAAACTATTTTCTGTACTGACCCCTTAAATCCCTTTTATTTTAAAAAAAATTATTTTTGTCACCTAGACATCGAAAGGCAATGCTAAAGAAATTTTTCAAGTGAAATATCATGAAACTTGCTTGCTTCCCTTTGACAATAATGGACATTACATAATTTCAAATTTAACATAGAAATCTCCATAGGCAATTTTAAGGTATTAATAAAACCGGAAGTACTCTACAGATCCATACCAAAATTGAAACATAGAGGGCATATTAGACTCCAAAATGATTGACAAAGGGAGATAACTCTTGCACGATTATTTTTGAAAATACATAAAAATACAAAATTTCAGGTCTCTAAAAGTCCTTTAAGGAGTTAAAAAGTGACCCCACGGACCATAATTTTTAAATTGCACTTTTTATGCTTAACTCAAAACTGAAGTCAGTTTGAAAATTGGTTGACAAATAAAAAAGTTACAGGGAAAAGACGATTTTTAGCGTTGACCCCTAAAAATCCCTAATTTCTAGGGATTTGGTTTTCAGGCCCTTTTCCGCTGAAGACAATAATAAATCAATTATTCCTTGATAATATTTCTAGATTTGCTTGCTCTCCTTCTGAGATAATGGCACATTAATGATTTTTTTTTTACTATAGAAACTCTCATAGACAATTTTAAAGCCTCATAGAACCGGAAGTTCTGTTCTGATGGACATGATACTTACATTATAGCCTTTAAATACTTTGATAAACAATATATAATCCTCAAAATAAATTTCTTTCATTGTTTTCAAAATTTTTAATTTCAATCCCCCCTTTTCTTAACTTTGGAGCCCTGTAACACAAAAATATACGATAGGTGCAAAAACACTAACGATGACTTTTTTGTAGATATTACTTTGAGGAATATATTCCTAAATTTTGAAAGATATTGCATGTAAAATAAGGAAAATTTTAGGCTTTAAAGAAAATTTAGTTTCTGTCTTCTAAAAACCGGAAGTGACGTTTACAGAAGTAAAAAACCTAGCATACACAAGATATTTAAAAGTTCTTTTTAATGGTTATAAAGGTAAATCCATATGCTCAAAGACTTTCTTCATATCCATGACATAAAAAACGCTAAGAAATAAAATAATAATAAAAAAGACGAAAACAATAGGTCTT